GCAATTTTGTAACTCCCCCATTTTTGAGGCATAAGTTTTGTTTCTGTGATTTAGAGGAACAGAGATAAGAATGGAATCTCTTGGCAAGACTGTACTGGCTCTTTTATGTAGTGCTAGGAATAGACCCAGGATCTCATGCATGGTAAGGCAGGTCTGTTCACTGAAGCATTTCTAGCCCCATTAAGTTATGGGATTTTTTTCTAATTTCATTACCACAACTCACAAGACTTAAGTTGTCTGTCCCTTCATGGATCCTGAATAAATTAACCTTTGAGAATACTAATGACATACGTAAAATAAAGCTAGCTACAGATACGAATCACTGAAAATAAGATAGACACATAGGTAAAAGTGACAGATTTCACCAGTTGTCAGTGGCTCATGCTTGTAATCCTGGCTACTTAGGAGACTGAAATCTGAGGATTGCAGTTTGAAGCCAGCCCAGGCAGGAAAGTCCATGAGACTCATCTCCAATAAACCACTCAGAAAGGACCAGAAATGGTGCTGTGGCTCAAGTGGTAGAGCACTAGCCTTGAGAAAGAGTCTCAGGGGACAGCACCCAGGCTGAGTTCCAAGTCCCAGGACTGCCAACTAAAAAGATTTCATCAACAAATGGATAGCTTTGCATAAAAGTCTTAAAAATTGGATATTAGAGCTTATATAAGAAATTTCATATGTATTTGATAAAATCATAGTTCATCTTCATAATTATAGAAATGCATAAAATCCAATTTAAAGTGGCTCAGTGAGTTGGGGGAAAAAATGTCACTTTGAGTATCTTGAAAAATTCCTTGGTAGACTTTCAAATCCCATTATTACATTTTCACTGTCATTTTGCTTTAGAAATTTTAAAAAGGCACAGGACTCTGCCTTTCGCACAGAGAAAGAAATAAAAGATACTGAGAAAGAAGTGAAGGACTTACAAGAAGAACTACAAAACCTTGATGAGAAAGCAGAAGAGGTCATCAGCAACACAAAAGCTGCTGAGGTACGTTTTTATTTTGTATGATGGAGGAGGAGTGATACCCAAAGCCGTGTAACTGTAAACCTATTTGTACAACAAAAGTGAGTGTCCAATTTTGTGTGAATAAAAGGGAAGGGATATGGGGACAGGTTGCTAACTGCTAACTAGTTGTTGGTTTATAGGAATCCTTGCCAGAGATCCAGAAAGAACATCGTAGCCTTCTTCAGGAACTGAAAGTTATTCAAGAAAATGAACATGTTCTTCAAAAAGATGCACTGAGCATTAAGTTGAAACTTGAGCAAATAGATGGTCATATTGCTGAACATAACTCTAAAACAAAGTACTGGCAAAAGGAGGTAAGAGTGCTACCATTTACTTCAACATTATTTGAGCCTCTTACTGGTTTTTGTTTTGAGGCCAGTTGTGATTATTAATTTTGATAGTCTATTTATAAAGCACCATTTTAAACAATAGTGCGGAAAAATTGAGTACTTGTTAGAATTGGGCAACCCCAGAATTAAAGATTTTAGAAAATCTTACATTTTATGACAGCTAATTTTATTGAACTAATTTTGAGAATTCATTAACAAATTAGTCTCAGATCATGATTTCATATTCGTATGATTGTATTTTCTTAATAACAAATCCTCTCATAGACCATGATAATGACAATTTGCCTTGTGAAAGTTAAAATGTGTTTGTGACTTTAACTAAGCATCACTATTCCACAATACTGTGAAATGTGTGACGTTTATGTAATCACCTAATCTCAATTTTTTTTTTAAAAAAAAAAAAGTGAGGAGGGATGGGTGACAATGTTGTAAGACACCTTGTACTCACATACTGTTTTGTAGAATGGGAACTTCTTTGTACAACTACTTAAAGATAGAATTTTAAAATGTAAAAAATAAATCCTCATATTAATTGAACTTTTAGATTTCAAAACTGACATTGCATCCTATAGAAGATCATCCTGTTGAGGAGATTTCGGTTCTGAGTCCAAAGGATCTGGAAGCAATCAAGAACCCAGATTCTCTAACAAACCAAATTGCACTGTTGGAAGCCCAGCACCATGAAATGAAGCCAAACCTCGGTGCTATCGCAGAGTATAAAAAGAAGGTATGGACACATTGATGTGTAATAGATTCTCTTAATTCTTAGCCTACTCACTTTATCATGATCTGAAACTTACACCTGAAGTTTTTCTCACAATCTTCTCATAGGAAGAATTGTATTTGCTACGAGTAGCAGAATTGGACAAAATTACATCTGAAAGAGATAATTTTAGACGGGCATATGAAGACCTTCGAAAACAAAGGCTTAATGAGTTTATGGCAGGATTTTATATAATAACAAATAAATTAAAGGAAAATTACCAGATGCTTACTCTAGGAGGGGATGCTGAACTAGAACTTGTAGACAGCTTGGATCCTTTCTCCGAAGGAATCATGTTCAGGTTTGTTCTACATATTGCTGTTCAATATTTCTAGGGGTGAGCTATGAAGGTTAGCTAATTTGTTTATATATTTGCAAGCTTATAGTATAAATTACAGGCCAACAAATACACAAGGTATTTGTGTAGTTTGGGTTTTTTTATAGCCTTCAAGTATTAGTTAAAAGAAACAAAGAGCAAGAATACTTAACTATCTTTGAGATCTTCAAAGATCCTAGTGTTCCTAGTGTTCATCTTCCACAAAGGGTTTTTAAACTAACTAGAAAAAAGGAGGGTGGGGCTGGGAAGATGGCTCAGTGGTAGAGCGCTTGCCTTGCATGCCTGAGGCCCTGGGTTCGATTCCTCATCACCACATAAGCAGGGGGAAAAAAGCCGGAAGTGGCGCTGTGGCTCAAGTGGTAGAGTGCTAGCCTTGAGCTGAAGAGCTGAGGGACAGTGCCCAGCTCAAGAGTTCAGGCCCCACGACCGACCAAAAAAAAAAAAGCAAAAATGAGGGTGGTAGGTAGTTCAAGCCAAGCCTGGTGGTTGTTCATGGTTCTAAGTGCTGGGTGCGGGGGAGGGTAAAAAGGCAGGAAGATTGTAAATTCAAAGCCACTCCAGGCTACGTAGGGAGGCGCTCTCAAAAAAAAAAAATTCATTTGTGAAAAACACATAGGAATTCCCAAGGAGGCTGGTAGAAGTAATTTACACAATTTTACACATAATTTGACTAAAAGAATTACCTAAATTCAGTGTTCGGCCACCTAAGAAAAGCTGGAAGAAGATCTTCAACCTTTCAGGAGGAGAGAAAACGCTCAGCTCACTGGCCTTAGTATTTGCTCTTCACCACTACAAGCCCACGCCCCTTTACTTCATGGATGAGATAGACGCAGCCCTGGATTTTAAAAATGTGTCCATTGTTGCATTTTACATATATGTAAGTCATAATCATTGTTTTCATTCTGGAACTTTGTGACTCCATGGAATTATCTGGATTATTTACTACTTTTTCTTTTTTTCTAGGAACAAACAAAAAATGCCCAATTCATAATAATTTCTCTTCGAAACAATATGTTTGAGATTTCAGATCGCCTTATTGGAATTTATAAGACATACAATATAACAAAGAGTGTTGCAGTAAACCCAAAAGAAATTGCATCTAAAGGACTTTGTTGAACTTTATCCTAAAGATGTCAAGTTTGGACAGATTTGGTGAATTTCTGGTTCTGTTTGTAAAAGATTACACGTGGCTGTATAAAGTACATATTAAGCTATTTGGCAAAAATGGTTTCTATTTTCACTGTTTAAGGTTATAGTCTATACTTAACAGATTGTAAAATTTTTACCTTGCTATATGTATAAATATCCCAAGCTGACCTCAGTCCTCCCTCAGCTTCTTCCTAAGTACTAAGATTAAAGATGCGCACCCCCATGCCCAGATCCTAAAGAATAAAATTTCTACGTGGCAAATTTAGAGGAAATGGAATGGCTGGAGAATCAGGTGACTTGACCTTAGTCAAGAACTGCCACTAACGTGAGTTCAAAAAGTATGTTGAAAGTAAATTTCAAAGCTAGAGCATGTTGTCAGGGCTCAGCTTCTTGTTCACTTGACCTACACTGGGAAATTCTGCCAGTCAACACTGGGCAGATTCTTAAGTCGCTGTGCTTAATGATGCTCACATAATGGGAAACTTATTTGCTCAATGGCTCATAAAGGGAAAATAAAACATGTGACTAAGACTTTTTGCTGGGGGAGGCAGCCAGGGGCCAGGAGGTAGGCTTATCTGGTACTCTCACAGCTACCATGCTATCACTAGAACCACAAGTGTGGGCATCAAGGGCTGGGGGTATCCTCACACTGCTTCGGCTTGTCCATTTTTGCCCTGCCAGTTGAGCCACTGTTCTTATGCTGATTAAACTGGAGATGTCTCAGACTTTGTAAGGGCTGGCTTCAAACCATAATCCTCTGATCCCATCCTTCTGAATAGTGCTCAAATAGGGCGTGTTTTTTTTTTTAACTGTATTTGAAGAATGTTAGGAATCTGAAAGTAAGTTGACAGCCACTTGGATTACATAAGAAGCCATCTAGAGATTCAATTTCCAGATATTTCTCCAAGAATTCATCAATTGCCAACTCATTCATTAGACCACTATTTATGCTTTTGAAAGACAAACCTTGCTTTTTTTGTTGTTGGTTGTGGGGTCTGAACTCTGGACCTGGGTGCTGTCCCTCAGCTCTTCAGCTCAAGGCTAGCCCTCTACCACTTGAGCTACAGCGCCACTTCCAGCTTTTTGTACTTACGTGATGCTGAGGAATTGAACCCAGGGAGGCCCTCATGTCTGCAAGGCAAGCATTCTACAACTGAGCCACCTTCCCAGCCCCCAAACCTGGCATTTATAATATAAAGTCATTAAAAATACAAGCACACTAGTGGCATGGACAAAGGCCTAAAATTTAAGTGTAATCAAATGCATTTTGTTGATGAGACAAGATTACATTTTGATAAACAACATAGTACTGAATTTTGAAGCTGGAATGTCCAGAGCCCATATGAAAATTGCAAAGCCACCACTCCTGAATTAGCATCTTACCAAGCCGTTAAATACAAATAAAATACCAAAAGGAGTTTATTATAAAAGTTTCATACATAAAAGCTCAGGATTACTGACTTTACAATCTCATCCTGGTGAAGTACAAAACAGCATGATTAAGGATCAGCTACTTCAATACTTCTCAAAACAAACACAAGTCTTAAAAAAAATACTGTCAATCCTAAAATGTTAACAGGCATATGCTTTGAGTTTATAAATCTTACCAGTAAGAAACCTTAGCCCTAAACACACACATGGCTTTGCATTACTTCTGTGAAGTTAATACCCTCCTCAAAAATTATGATCTTAACGGTTACTTTCATTCCATAAATTCATTGCCTAACTACATTTTTCAAAAACTTATAGTGACTAATATCTTAAGCATAGTACAACTTCAGTCTAAAGGTAATATGTATGACTTAACCTGGTATACCCTTTAAAAATCTGGACATAATTGTGCTAGTCTAGCTCTGATCATAGATTTCATGCTGTAATCTTTAAGTGGTAAAATCTGTTCTCAGCAAGACCTTTAGAACCAGTTCCCAGAATACAGCTGTTTGTCCACTTTCAATGTGTGGGGGCCAAGAGCATCCCCTAATTAGCCTAGAAATGGTGTCACAAGCAGTACTCATGGGACTCACAAAACCCAACTTGGAGTTCATGGACAACGAGCCAATTTCAGTTAGAACTAAGGCGTCTCTTAAAAGTTCTGGAATGTAGGGCTGGGAAGTTGGCTCAGTGGTAGAGCGCTTGCCTTGCATGCCTGAGGCCCTGGGTTCGATTCCTCAGCACCACATAAGCAAAAAGAAAAATTCTGGAATGTAAGATGGTTTGTGGTACTTCTGCATCAGCACAGTGAATAAACACCTGGCAAGAAGGCTAAGTATGTTGAGAATGTCACATACAACTAGAAACTGACTACCAAACTAAAAATGTTTACTGGTAGCATACACTAAGCAAGGGCTCTACTCCAACCCTCTGAGAAAAGGTCTATGTTGCCTAGGCTGACAAAGTTATGCATGTATACAAGGATTTCCTGCCTCAGGCAGGAAACATAAGATTTTGCATTTTTTTTCATCAAAATGTCACATACACATAAAGACAACCATTGCAGAAAGTAAAAGACCAAATCTATTACAATGTCAACCTCTTACACCAGTAAAACTGGGGTATATTACTGAATTTACTAGCTGTTTTTATTGTTTTCTGATAAATGACAGTGTGAACTAACTTTCAGATACTGTTATATACCAACACAAGCCTGAATTGGAGGTTTGGCTCAAACAACGGGACGCCTGAAGTAGTACATCTGCCTAGCAAGGCCCTGAGTTCAAACTCAGGTATTGTCCCCCCCACCCCTCCAAAAAAAAGTTATTGTCCCAACAGAAACACGGAAGATTTAATATATTTCTATATATTTATATTTGTTGCAAGTCTACTAAAGTTTAGTTTGCTACTTTAGCTACCCTAGTCTCCATTAGCAGTGGTTAGCCTCTGCTGTCCCCCGACTGACTTCACAATTCAGATTTACATTTTCAATGATAAACTACTTCCCACATAAATTCCTTCAAAAAATAAAAAGTGTGACAGAGTATATTTTGTAAATCATGCAACTTGTTAGATAAGCTTTGGTAAACAGACAAAGAGACTTCAGAAAAACATATTGAAGTGATTTCATTTAAGAAGGTTATTATGTGATGGTTGAAAAGGAGTATCAACATTAATATCACTGAAATAAGCGTGACTATAGCAATATTTAAAATCTTAAAAAGCTCAATCTCCTTTTCATCTTTCTCAGGCCAGGAACAGGGCACCCTTCTTGAAGAAATCTTCATTTCAGGAATAAAAGCTCTCTTAATTTTTCCTATTTCCGTTCTGCTCCATTCTTCTTTTAATACTTTGCTTACCCGAGGTTGAATTTCAACAGGTTGGACATCAGGAAGTGGTCTTTCTTTTAGCATCTGCACACGCTGGCGAACATCATCAATTTTTTCTAGAAATTTAAGTGGAGATTCTTCTTGTAAAGATGTGGTCATGGTAACCAATTCAAGCTGCTGCTCTCGTATTTCCTTCAGTCTTTCAATCTGTGGAGTATATTCTTGACTCATCATATTGCCAACATCACAGAGAGCAGTTAGGAAGTTCTTCTTTTTCTGTTCTAATGTATCAGTAAGCTCCTTAAAATACTGGAGAACAATTTCCTTGTCGCCTTGGACCATTTTCTCTGAATGAGATTTCTGTTCTTCTAGCTTTTCGATAAGACGAGTAATATCTGTCCAGTGTGCATCAGTAAGTTGTTTAAGCAATCTTCTTGGTGTGTCTTTTTCTTTCAGATAGGCACTCTGAAGGTCATCTATAGGATGACCATGATGTTGACCTATAGTTAGGCAATGACCACAAACTAATTTTTTATCCAGAAGACAATAAACATTCAATGGTTGCCTATAGTGTTCAGGGCAGGTGACAATATCTGGATGCTCTTCCTGCTGATACTTTTCAATGATAGCCCTTAATGCAAAATTAACAGGTAAAGATTCAATACCACTTGGAGCAATTTCAATAATACTTCTGCAGTTAGGACACTTGAGTGGAATTCGCAAAGGTCTCCATATATAAAAATTACCAGATGCCTGAAGAACATTTTCCAAACAGTTTCTACAAAATGTATGAGAACATGGTAATACACGAGGATCTTCAAAAATACTGTAACAAATGGGACATGTTAACTCATCCTCAAAATTGTGCATTTCCTGTCAAGAGAAAAAAAAAATTCAGTCTATTCTGCATACTTTATACATTAACATCCAAATTATTAATATACAGTGCTTGTCATCTAAAATTTACTAAGCATTTCTTTTTAAAAAGACATTCAATTAGTCAAAGTTGTTCACAAAGAGTAAGCGATAAAATTCATACCTTTGGGATAAAATTTATACCAAGTAAAATGACTCCAATTAATTTATAATGAAATGCTTCAAATTAACAATTTAAACTTTTTCTATATAATGAGGACTAAAACTTAGTGTTCTTTAAGTTACTTAGTAATTACAATTACTGTATGCAACTTGTTACATGCCAAAATGCTAAAATCCAGACACTGCACATATATAGGTAGTAAGCATTTCATTTATACAATATAACAACTTAGGTTTAGCGACATCATATTCTGTAATTTTTTAAAAAAGCAAATACGTTAGTGCCTCATTGATACTTGTTTTTATAAGCATACATTTGTTAGACATTTCCAAATGTACAAGATGCATTCCAACAATGGCTCTCAATCGTTGGTGTGTGTGTGTGTTTAGAAGTATCACACATTCAGCTTGTTGTTCAGCTTTTAGGCTGATGCTCTACCAATTAAGCCGTGTGTGTGTGTGTGTGTGTGTGTTTAGAAGTATCACACATTCAGCTTGTTCAGCTTTTAGGCTGATCTACCAGTGTGTGTGTGTGTGTGTGTTTAGAAGTATCACACATTCAGCTTGTTCAGCTTTTAGGCTGATCTACCAGTGTGTGTGTGTGTGTGTGTGTGTGTGTGTGTGTGTGTGTGTGTGTGTGTGTGTGTGTGTGTGTGTGTGTGTGTGTGTGTGTGTGTGTGTGTGTGTGTGTGTGTGTGTGTGTGTGTGTGTGTGTGTGTGTGTGTGGTGTTTAGAAGTATCACACATTCAGCTTGTTCAGCTTTTAGGCTGATGCTCTACCAATTAAGCCAATCCTCCTGTCCAACTTATTGCTGGTTAATTGGAAAGTCTCAGAACTTTTTGCCTAGAATAGCTTCAAACTGTGTGATCTTCGTATCTCAACTTCCTGAGAAGTTTATAGAACTATAGGCATGAGCTAAAACATCCAACTCATAGTTTCTTAAAGCAAGTTACAGATTTAGTTTCTCTAGAAAGTGAGCATAAATTTCTTACCTGTTTGAGTTGGAAAAAATATCAGAAACTCAGTTTCTGCATAACAATTTTCTTTCTTTTTATTTTCATGGTACTAGACCAAACCCAGAATATTGTATATATATGCTGGCCAAGTGCTCTACCACTTACATATACCCAGACCCAGACCAACAGTGTAACTTGTAATTTTTTTTTTGCCTGTCCTGGAACTTGAACTCAGGGCCTGAGCACTGTCCCTAAGTCCACCACCCCCATCCCAACAGGGTCATGGGGCTTGAACTCTGGGCCAGGGCGCTGTCCCTGTGCTCTTTGGCTCAAGGCCAGTGATCTACCACTTAAGCAACAGTGCCACTTCCAGTTTTCTGGTGCTTAATTGGAGATTATCGTCTCAGAGGCTTTCCTGTCGGGCTGTCTTTGAACCAAAATCCTCGTATCTCAGCCTCCTGAGTAGCTAGGCTTACAGGAGTGAGCTACGGGTACCTGGCTTCCCTGAGCTCTTTGCTCAGTGCTACCACTCATGGCTTTTTCTGTTTATATGGTATTGAGGAATCAACCCCAAGGCTTCATGTATGCTAGGCAAGCACTATACCACTAAGCCACATTACAAGCCTAAATTATTTTTAACTTGAACATTTGGAAGTTAAAAAAAAAAAAAATTCACTAGACTTTGCCATCAAAAAATTAGTTGAAGTCAGGTGCCAGTGGCTCACACCTATAAATCACAGCTACTAAGGAGGCTCAGATCGGAAGAACACGGTTCAAAGCCTTGAGCAAAAGAACTCAAGTTTTCTGGTGGTTAACTGGAGCAGTCTTATGGACTTTCCTGCCCTGGCTCAGATCTCAGCCTGAGAAGCTAGGATTACAGGTGTGAGCCACCGGTGCCCAGACTAACTTCACTTCTAACAAACAAAACCTCAGACATTTTCTGTTGGCTCCTTATCTAAGCATCTACCTTATCCCTCATGTCTCAACATACATGTCTACCTCTGAAGCCACACTCAGACTTCATAATTATAAAAGGCTTGCAGCATTGTTATATGCTAAATTGTACACCTCCTATAAGGCAAAAATTGTACGTAAACTATGGTGTAGTTCTATAATCTAATCACAAAAATTAACCTAGACTAGGCATTCACACCCTATATGCTTGAATGAACAGTTATAAATACACTGTTAATCAGACCAGACTTCAGCTTCTTTTACTTTTCCCTTGGGGAGGGTGGTGGTGCTGGGTTTAAACTCAGAGCTTCTTACCTGCTAAACAGGTTCTCTACCAACTGTAGGCCACACTTCCAGCGCTTTTTCCTCTCTGCATGAGATTGTGTGTATTGGGACTGGGGCTTCCACTCAAGGCCTCTCACTTGGCTTGTTTATGGCTGGCAGTATACAGCCCAGTTCTGGCTTTCTGATGGTTAACTAGAGTTTGTTGTGGCTCTCTTTGAACCATAGTCTTCAGAGCTCATCTTCCTAAATAGCTAAGATTACAGGCATGAGACACACCAGTGCCAAGCTCTCTGGTTACTTTTAAGATACACTCTCCCTTTTTGCCCAGGGCAGCCAAGATTCTCAGCATCCCAAGCAGCGAAGGCTGACAAGCATAAGCCACAGCACCCAAAGATGATAAAATCTTTTTTTTTCCCCCTTAGGAAAAAGCTGCAGGAAAAAGCTGCAACAGGAGATTCTATTCAGACTGGCAATATTCAGTATACCAAATGAGCCACTAATCCTTAACTGTGAAGGATTCAAGGAAACTACAGTAACTGTGCAACAGTCTACAAGATGACAGTCGTGGCAGGTCAATTCAAGTGACTGCATGTTGGGAAACATTTACAACTTTACCCCACACCTACAGTGGGCTCTTAATCTTGTCAAAAAAAAAAAATCATGTTTCTCATAGTATTTCAATAATGTCAGAACAGTGAGGGAACAGACAAGATTGTTGAAGGGAAGAAAACTTAAGCAATGGACCTAGATTTAATAATGCTATTACAGGCAGGCACTGGTGGCTCACACCTGTAATCCTTGATATGCAGGAGGCTGAGATCTGAGGATCATAATTCAAAGCTAGCCTGGGGAGGAAAGTCCATGAGACTCAGCTCCAATTAACCTCCAGAAAACCATGGAGGTCTGGCTCAAAGTGGTAGAGCACTAGCCTAGAGAAGAAAAGGCCAGGCCCTGATTTCAAGCTCCACAACCAGCAAAATAATCATAATCATAGTAATATCACAGCTAGTTAATGTATAAATAGCAAAACTTGACCTAAACAGAATCTAATCTAAAGTTGTAGTCCATACCTATCAAAAAACATTTTCACTGAGAATCAAAAGCTTACTTTTTAGAATGAAAATATTTACAATAATAATGAAAATAATGTCAAGCTGGGCAGTGTAGCTTACACTTGTAAACACAGCTATTTAGAAGGCTAAGACCTGAGGATGGAGGTTCAGACCAGCCTAAGCTGACAAATCCAAGAGACCTTTATCTCTAAACAGCAAAAAGCCAAAACTGGAGGCATAACTCAAGTGGTAAGAGTACCAGCTGTGAGCAAAAAAGCTAAAAGAGAACGCAAGACCCTAGCCAGTACTTGGTTTAAAAAAAAAAAAAAGAAAAGAGCACTGGCAAGTTGGCTCAGTGGTAGAGTACATGCCTTGCATGCATGAGGCCCTGGGTTTGATTCCTCAGCACTACATAATCAGAAAAAAGCCAGAAGTGGCGCTGTGGCTCAAGTGGTAGAGCGCTAGCCTTGAGCTGAGGAGCTGAGGAGCTGAGGGACAGCGCCCAGGCCCAGAGTTCAGCCCCCAGGACCAAACAAAACAAAAAAAGAAAGAAAATGTCATCTCCTAAACTTATATAAAACGGAAGAAAAAAAATTCACAGTCTAAGTTACTACCAAAATATTTTCAATAAAATTTACCCAAAAATTAGGTCACTTCAAGATGCCAGAAATTTAATTATCAACTATTGTCTTGATGATTAAAAATTAAAATGGAAGGTAATCGTAATAAGGGAAGAAAAGTTTGAAAACTATATTTTTTCTTTGAAGAAAGCTGATCTGTATTCAAAAATGAAAACTAGAAAAACCACAGTAAGAGCATATTATTTAGAAAATAGAGAAGTTAATACCAAAACAAATGGTTAAGAGATGAAAGTAATTACTTTTAAAGAGCAGCGTCTGGAGGAGGGAGTGTGAGGGCAAGGATCTGCTGTGTGAAATGTAAGTAGTAGTTTTACTTTTAATCAACATGAATTAAAATATAAGACGTTAAAGGAAAATAATCCTACTGGGTGCAGCAGTGCAGTACCCAGGAAACTCAGGCAGCAGGATACAAGTTGAAGGTCAGAGTGACTACACAGCAAGATCCTGTCTCTAAAGAAAAGCAGAGAAAAAGAGGAAAACAAGAACATTATGGCCTCAGGATTTGCTGGTTACCATAATTTCCCAAGAAGATGTACAACAAAAGATAGACAGATAGATAAAAACAAGCTTGGAGTCAGGCACGGGTGGCTCATGTCTTTCATCTTAGCTCCTACTCAGGATACTAAGATTTGAGGATTGTGGTTTGAAGCTAGCCTGAACAGGAAAGTCGGTCACTCATCTCTAATTAACCAGCAAAATGCCAGAAGTGAAGCTGTGGCTCAAGTGGTAGAGCACTAGCCTTAAGTGAAAAATCTCAGTGACAACTCGCAGGCCCTGAGTTCAAGCCCCAGAATTGACACCAAAAGAAAAAGAGAAAGAAATCTGATGGAGTCAGGAGCCAGTGGCTCATGTCTGTAATCCTAGCTGAGATCTGAGGATTGAGGTTTGAAGCCAGTCCAGGCAGAAAAGTCCCCATGAGACTCTTCTCTCCAAGTAACCACTCAAAAACTGGAAGTGGAGCTGTGGCTCAAAGTTGGTGGGGTGCTAGTCTTGAACAAGAGCTTATAGACAGCACCCAGGCTCTGAGTTCAAGCCCCACCACAACCAACACACACACACAAATCTGTTTTGAAAAGTTTAAGCTGCATACCCATGGCTCACACCTATAATCCTAGCTAATAGAAGGCTGAGATGTGACCATTGTAGTTGGAAGCCAGCCAGTGCAGGAAAGTCCATGAGACTCTGGAAGTGGCACTGTGGTTCAAAATTTAGTGGTAGAGTACTTGCCTTGCATGCATGAGGCCCTGGGTTCAATTCCTCAGCACCACCTAAGCAGAAAAAGATGGAAGTGGCACTGTGGCTCAAGTGGTAGCTAGCTTTGAGCTGAAGAGCTGAGGAACATCGCCCAGAGTTCAGGCCCCACAACCAACCAAAAAAAAAGTTCTAGCCTTGAGTAAAAGAGCTCAAAGACAGTACCCAGGCCCTGACTGACCCCCTCCCCCCCCAAAAAAAAGAGGAAAGAAAGGCAAGAAGCGTCTCCAGTGATTTCTTTCAAATGGTCAACAATTCCTTGTACCAGAACACAAATATAGAAAGTTTACAGATATTAAAAATAATATTACACGATTCCAAAGTATGAAGTGTATGGTGGTGAGCACAAGTAACCTTCCAAAACCTAGCACACTATAACCTACCAAAACCTAACAATACAACACACTAAAAATAGACAAAAAAGGGGCTGGGAAGGTGGCTCAGTGGTAGAGTGCTTGCCTTGCATGCATGAGGCCCTGGGTTCGATTCCTCAGCACCACATAAGCAGAAAAAAGCCAGAAGTGGTGCTGTGGCTCAAGTGGTAGAGTGCTAGCCTTGAGCTGAAGAGCTGAGGGACAGCACCCAGGCCCAGAGTTCAAGGCCCATGACTGGGGGAAAAAAAAAAAAATAGACAAAAAAAAAAAAAAAAATGGATACTACAGCCAGGTACCAATGGATCACACCTGTAATCCTACCTACTCAGGATGAGATCTGAAGATTGTGGCTTGAAGCCAACCCAGAAAGTAAATCTAAGAGATTCTTACTGCTAATTAACCAGTTAGAACAAAAAACAACAACAAAAGCCAGAAATGGAAGTTTGGTTCAAGAGGTAGAGCACTAGTCAGGAGCAGAAAAGCCATGAGAGGAGGTCTGGAGCTCAAGCACCAGTATCCACACAAAAGTTAATTAATAAGGTACTAAGGGAAAACCTTAAAAGAACAATGTTCTACAAAAGTCCAATCCAGGTGAACATTAAAAATACAGTACCAGCCAGGTGCTGGTGGCTCATACCTGTAATCCTAACTCAGGAGGCTGAGGTCTGTCAAAGCCAGCCTGTGACTCATCTCCAAGTAATCACCCAAAAACTGAAATGGAGCTGTGGCTCAAAGTGATAGAACACAAGCCTTGCGCAGAAAAGTGTAGGAACAGCACCCAGGCCCAGAGTTCAAGTCCAACAACAATAAGAAAAAAGAATACTGTACCATAACAATGCTGAGGATACAGTTCAGGGTAGAGTAAGTGTTTAAGCATGATGACAAACAAAACAAAACTAAACTACTCCACAGCTAAGTACGGTTCTTCCTAGAGCAGTTAATTCAGTAACAACAAAAAGTTCATGTAGCCGGGCGCTGGTGGCTCACGCCTGTAATCCTAGCTACTCAGGAGGCTGAGATCTGAGGATCACAGTTCAAAGCCAGACTGGACAGGAAAGTTCATGAGACTCTTATCACCAATAAACCGCTAGAAAACCAGAAGTGGTGCTGTGGCTCAAGTGGTAGAGCACTCACCTTGCGCTGAAGAGCACAAGGACAGCCCCCAAGCCCAGAGTTCAAGCCCCACGACCGACAAAAAAAAAAGTTCATATATAATTTGTTCAATTAGGTCAATAGTGGAAAAAAAGAAACATAAGGCTAAATGATCTAATTATTGCTTAACAAATTTCTTATGGTTTAAGCACTAAAACCAAACATTTTTGAATTTCCAAACTTTTTTTATGAAGTCTTCCAACAAGGGCAAACAAGCATCCCTACTGTCTAATCAAGTAGGTAAGAGATGTTATAGGTGACAGAGAACTAATAAGCAATGCCAAAACTCCCACTACCCATTCTCCATTAGTTCTGATACACTCTTTACCTTTCCTCTCTAAATATGGCTATAAAACATCCATTACACTTTATAATCTCTAAAAATTTGTATTTATACCATGTTTTTTATTTAGATGGCTAGTCACAGGACTTCCAGTGAGTCAGCTATAAACCAAGGAAAACTCAAATGGTGCCACCACCCAGAGTAGAGCTCACCTGTTTGTGGACCAAACTGGTTTTAAAAAAAACAACTATGTTTACTACAATTCAGGACTTAAGAAAAGGGGCTGGGAAGGTGGCTCAGTGGTAGATTGCTTGCCTACCATGCATGAAGCCCTGGGTTCGTTTCTCAGTACCACATAAACAGAAAAAGCCAGAAGTGTTCAAACCCTGGGACCGGCAAACAAAAAAAGACAAGAAATGCTACAACTGTGCTATCTACATACAAAACTTTCAAAATTATCTTTGTCATGATGTATATTTTAAAGAATAAGTTCTAAGCTAGAAGGTGGCTCAGTGGTAGACTGCTTGCCTTGCATGCATGAGGACCTGGGTTCGATTCCTCAGCAACACATAAGCAGAAAAAGGCAGAAGTGGTGCTGTGACTCAAGTGGTAGAGCGTAAGCCTTGAGCTGAGGGACAGTGCCCAGGCCCACAGTTCAAGCGCCACCACCGACAAGAAGAACCAAGGAGAGAGGAGAAAGGAGGACGAGGAGGATGACAAGAAGTTCTATGGTTAGATCTTTCTCTTTATTCCTCAGTAGTTTTCTTTACTTTGATATTGTTTTTCCCCAAAACTAAAAGGGGAACTAAGAATATAAATTAACCAAGAACATATTAAACTAAGATTTTACTGCTTTTATACTTTTCACAGTAGGCCACATTCAATAACATACTTACGGAAAGACAACACCAACACTCTCATTACTGAAAATCAAAATTTCATCTTGCCAGACAAGTTAAACTATGGTATCTTACTTAAGCTCATTAAAAAGAAATACAGACCAAGCCTTAAATGGACAGTGAAATAGAATCCAAGTTGTAGAGCTATGCGTATACGTGTACTGGAATGTACACTATAAAAATCTCAGGAAGGTTCGGTTGGAGTGACTGCCTCCGGGTGGTGTTGATTTTTTCCGCACGGGCTCCTTCCACGCGGTGGTTTATGACTTTACGCACTGACAGCATACACCCTTTTCCAAGAGATTTGTAAATCTTGCATTGTAAATCTACTGAAATCTGACTTCCTATCCGATCCCTATCCCAGATCTTACCTTTTTTTGTCGATTTCCTGGTTTGGATACTGAATATCCTTTATCTCCAGCTTTTCCTGATTCTTTTATTCTTTTCCTGAAATTAAAATATTTTTCTTTAATGCTCCAACCTGACTTTCCAAAAAAAAAAAACTTCTTTAAAACCATGTCATAAAAGTAACATTAATGACCCTGTCCCGGGACGGCTGGTTATTCGCGCGTCCCAGTCTTACGGAAAATGACCGGTTGGCGACACCGTTCCTGAAGAGGGTTCTCCGGCTACCTTCAAATCCCGACCCCTGGCCCTTTACACACCGGGGCGACGGGTGCCCCGCGACGGGGCCGGGGCTGAGGCCGGGCGCTCGGCACAACTCGGCGAGACCGCGGGAACCTGGCGAGGCAGGCGGCCCCGCGGACAGGGCCGGCTCGGGCTCGGACGCAGACCGGGCCCCGGCCCCGGAGCGCCCCCGCGCCGGCCCCGCTCCCGGCTCGGACCCGGACCCGGACCCAGAGCGCTCCCCGCGCCCGCCCTGCTCGCGGCTCGGAACCGGACCGCCCTCCGCGCCGACCCCGCTCAAAACCCGGACCCGGAGCGCCCCCCACGCCGGCCCCGCTCCCGGCTCGGACCCGGACCCGGAGCGCCCCCCGCGCCGGCCCCGCTCCCGACTCGGACCCGGACCCGGAGCGCCCCCCACGCCGGCCCCGCTCCCGGCTCGGACCCGGACCCGGACCCAGAGCGCTCCCCGCGCCGGCCCCGCTCCCGGCTCGGACCCGGACCGCCCCCCGCGCCGGCCCGCTCCCGGCTCGGACCCGGACCCGGAGCGCCCCCCACGCCGGCCCCTCCCGGAGCGCCCCCCGCGCCGGCCCCGCTCCCGGAGTGACCCCGCGCCGGCCCCGCTCCCGGCTCGGACCCGGACCCGGAGCGCCCCCCGCGCCGGCCCCTCCCGGAGCGCCCCCCGCGCCGGCCCCGCTCCCGGAGTGACCCCGCGCCGGCCCCGCTCCCGGAGTGACCCCGCGCCGGCCCCGCTCCCGGCTCGGCCCCATCGCGCCCCCCGCGCCGGCTCCATCGCTCCCTGAGGAGCGGTTGCCCCACGCGCGCCCCGGTCCGCAGCGAGCTCGGCCGCGGGGACCCGCGCCTGCCCAGCCCGCACCCCTGAAACTCAGACCCCCCCCCCAGCCGCGACGGAGAGCTTGTGGAGTGCGGTCCCGCCGCCCCCCGAGCCCCGGTCCCTCCGGGGTCCCGAGCCCGCGGAGACGCGGCGGGAGCGCGGGTCCCGGAGCCCGACCGCCCCTCGGGGCGCCCACCCGCCGCGCCCCCGGACTGCCGGCCGCCGCCGGGGCGCCGGGAGGCGCGGTGCCGCCGCTCGGGGCCGGCGAGGCGGCCGCGGACTCACCGCGACGAGGCGGACGAGCGGGAAGCGCGCGGCCCGGGCGCGGCGGGATCCGGAGCGGGCTCCAGGGCGGCGCGCAGGCGGCGGCGGAGGGCGGCGGGGCGCCCCCGGCTCCTCCCTCCGAGAGACTCCAGGTGTCCGCTGGGGCGGGGCCGAGCCGCCTCGCCGCGCAGGCGCAGTCTGCAAGCGACGTTCAACCGCGCCGCGCCCGCCAAAGGGACGCTGCGCGGGGCCGCGGTTTGAAAGTAAACGGCCGCGGGCGGGGCGGGGCGGGGGAGTGCTCCCCGCGCCTGCGCACTGGGCGCGATCCGGCCTGTGGGAGCGGTGTGCGCTGAGAGCGTCCGGAGAGGCGGGGCCGAGGGGCTGCGCGCGCGGGAAGGCCGGCGGTTTATGCGGGCCGCCGCGCGGTGGGAACGTCGATGACCGGGGACCCACCCCCACCCCGGGGACCCACCCCCACCCCGGTCTAGCGCGGCGACCGCCGTTGTGACCTCACAGCAGCGGGGCGGGGCGTCTGCGGTTCAGGAGACTGGGATCTAAGGATCGCGGTTCGAAGCCAGCCCGGGCAGGAACGTCCCTGAGACTTATCTGCAATAAACCACCAGAAAACCGGAAGTGGCGCTGTAGCTCAAGTGGTAGAGAGCTAGCCTTGAGCTAAAGAGCTGAGGGACAGCACCCAGGCCCCGGGTTCAAGCCCCACGTCCAACAACAACAAAAAGAGATTGCAAGAAACATTTTTAGAGGAAAAACTTCAACCGTGTCGATGTTGCCCTAGACCAGATTTGAGCCCAAATTTGTACCTTAGTACACAGTACAGAGGGAAATTCTTTCTGCCCACCCCTTCTCAGCTATTCTTTTTTGGAAGCAAACTGGAAGACTACAAGGACATTTAAGTCCAAAATGACCAGAAATATCCTTGGAGTGGTCCAACTGGTTTCCTCTCCATTTACTATCCACCGTTGGGAATCACTTTAGGCCAGGCACCAGGAGTCACACTGTTATACCGAAATTCGGGGACCCCCAGAAGACCACCAGAGACCAAGATCAATGTAGGCAACAAAGAGCCGGTTTATTGCAAGCTCGAGCTTGGTTCTCTGCGCCCATGGTAACCGGTGACGCTAAGAGGCCCTGAGCATAGAATCAGGGCAGTTTTTATAGTATTGGACAAACAACTTTAAGGAACTTTTACATAAGAAATTACATGATTGGTTAACATTTACATTTAAAGCAAGCTAAACTGGGCAAATAATGATTGGTTGACCTTTACAAAAAAATGTCCTTGGTCCATAGCTTGACCGAAAAAGGTTACGAGTCACACCCAGACCAGCAGAATGCATGGCACGTCTCACCCCGGGCTCTGAAGAATGGGTTAGTTAGAAACTCTTAGTCCTAGGTGGCTGAGGGGCAACACCACTTTGGGGCGTTACCTGCCTTAAGCAAACGCCATCTATGGCTCCAAGAATTGTGCATGGCTTTCTGTCATAAATTCCTAGCATTGGAGCTAAAGTGGATCACAAGTCGTCGCAGAACTGAGATGGAGTGTTAAACAAAAATGGAGTTGCTTAGGTTTCTTAAAACATTATATTTCTTCCCTAGGGCCTTACTGCCTAGGCCTTTGGGAGAGGCTTTGCAGCTGTGGGAATAATTCTGAGGACTTTGCCCCCTTGGGTCAGGGCTATAAACCCTTTGAAGTCTTTTACTAAGCAACTCTAGGCTCCCAGGCTGACATTCCACTACTGAGTAACTAAAACCAGTCACAGTTAAAATCATACAAAAGCCATACAATCATCTAGCACAAAGCAATTCATACAGAAGCAAAAATGGCTGTTAGGTGCTGTCATATATATATATATATATATATATATATATATATATATATATATATATATAAAAATGTTTTTTTTTACGTTCTTCAACGCCTAAGATCCTATCTATCCAGGAGTCTGAGACCTGGAGGATAGAGGTCTGAAGCAGGCCTGGGCAGAAAAGTCCATCTCCAGTTAGCCAGCAAAAAAAATGCCTGACTGGAACTGTGGGGAGACAGCTATGAGTGAAAAAGCCGAGAGAGTGTGCAGTCAGTCCTGCACGGTCGCAAAAAGCACACAAAATAGGCAATAACGGATTCACAGAAGAGCATGCACGTTTTGTTTCTTTTAGATGTGCAGGGCGATCTTTAGAATAAAACTCAAACGACTGACAACAGCATGATGCTTTTATGTGGTTGAGATAACAAACATATGCCGCTGTGTAGGAACAAGAGAAAAACAGGTACCTGTCAGGGATGGTACGGATCATTCGGATGGATGGAAGCAGGTGGAAGAAAAGGGTTGTTTCAGTTATTCATTGCAAGTCCACTGCCAAGTGTGTGGTTATCACGGCTCTTTTCTGGCTTTGGTATGCGAAGGTCAGGCATCCCAAAAGAGTCTTTATGTCTTGTTGAATGTAGGGCAAATGGCCCCAGCTGAAGTTACATTTAGTGCCTAGTTTCACTCTGAAATAGCATCAGTTTGGCTTGGGTTGGTGCATCTTTATTGACACTATCAAAAAATACAGATAGCTTAACGTCGCTCATCTCATCTTGTTTTTTACCTCAGAGAATCATGTTATAAACAGTGATGTGTGTCTTTGTGACAGGACATTTTGTTTGGGTTTGCTTTGTTGATTTCACTGATAGAATTCACCGGCTTCCAATAGTCACATAAGCCATATAACCATAAGTCTTTCTGCCACCTGCTAGGGGGTTGGGCCAAAGCTTAACAATTCCCTTATTCCTTTTTTTTTTTTGGTCAGTCCTGGGGCTTGAACTCAGGGCCTGTACTCTGTCCCTGAGCTCTTTTGCTGAAGGCTAGTGCTCTACCGTTGAGCCATAGCACCACTTCCAGTTTTCTGATCATTCGTTGGAGATCAGAGTCTCAGTGACTTTCCTGCCCAAGGCCAACTTCCAACAGTGATCTCCAAACCTCAGCCTCCTGAGTAACTAAGATTACAGGTGTGAGCCACCAACACCCAGCATGATTCGCATCTTTCCAGGCCAAATAAATTACTTTTCTTCAACTGACTTCTGTATTTGAAATTTGAGCTGCAGTTTCAAGAGACAAGATGACAAATGAACAGCAAGTGTGAGCTCCACCTGGCTGAGGGCCACAGAGAACAGGGAGGTTTGAGAAGAGTGGTAGGGAAGGTGTGCGGTGTTTTGAGGATGGGGCGGCCTCTCCTGGAAAGATCGATTCAGTCCTCTTAATGTCTGCACTCCACCTCAAGCTGAGAGGCAGGGCCTGGGAGACTGGTGTTTACTAAACGTGTGGGGAAATCTAAGAGGTGGAGAGTGGCTACAGCATGCCAAGCGTTGGGGGTGGTTGTGGGAGGAGTAGAGAGGAGATCATGAGGAATGAGGTGGCCCACCTCCCTTTCCCGTGTCTGTGACACTGACAGTTCTGAAAGGCGACTGGGGTTTTGCCACTTCTTGAAATGGCCCTAGGTCTTGGCTTTAGCAAATAGGGACCAGAAAAGCCAGGCGTCTGCTGGGGCTTCCAAAGTCAGGCAAGAACTTTCCCCCACAGAGTGAACTTTGAAAGCACAGTGGAAACACAAAATTAAACCCACTATGTCATTGATGGGTTCTTCAAACCGCCAGTTACACTGTGTTGAAAACAAGTCATCGTTTCAACCACCTGTCAGCAGACAATGGGACATCTATGAGTTGAGCACAAAAAGATACTGTTCCAATGAGTCAATGTTGGCACAGACGGGCCTCATCTTGTGATGGGTTCAGTAGGCCCTCACTGTTCACCACTCCCCCACATCGCCTCTCCTCCTCCCTGCTTCTGATTGTGCTGTCTCCCAAGCAATACACAATCTATTCACTTTTTGTTTGCCAGTCCTGGGCTTGAACTTCTAGGCCTGGATGCTGTTCCTGAGTCTCTTGGTGCTCAAGGCTAGCGCTTTACTACTTGAGTTACAGCCCCACTGCTGGCTTTTTCTGAGTAGATAAGTATTGGAGACAAGAGTCTTATGGACATTCCTGCCCGGTCTGGCTTTGAACCATGATCCTCAGATGTCAGCCTCCTCTGAGTAGCTAGGATTACAGGTGACAAGACCAGGTTGGTTTTCTTGTAAAAATGAATGAGAGGGCTGGGAAGTTGGCTCAGTGGTAGAGCGCTTGCCTTGCATGCTTGAGGCCCCAGGTTCGATTCCTTAGCACCACATAAGCAAAAAGAAAAAAGCCGGAAGTGGTGCTGTGCCTCAAGTGGTAGAGCGCTAGCCTTGAGCTGAAGAGCTAAGGGACAGCACCCAGGCCCAGAGTTCAGGCCCCACGACTGGACCCCAAAAACGAAAAACAAAACAAAAAAGAAAATGAATGAGGGTTCTTTAAGAGCAATACTGGTATCACCTAAACAGACATTATGCTTTTTTTTGTTGTTGTTGTAGGGGCTGAACTCTCGGCCTGGGCGCTGTCCCTCAGCTCTTCAGCTCAAGGCTTGCGCCCTACCACTTGAGCCACAGCGCCACTTCTGGCTTTTTTCTTCTTATGTGTTACTGAGGAATCGAACCCAGAGCCTCATGCATGCGAGGCAAGCACTCTACCACTGAGCCACCTTCCCAGCCACTGTGCTTTTTATCCCCCACCACATAGACAAGTCATCAAAAAGATGCTGCTCACTTGGTATGTTTATAATCTTCCCATTTCAGTAAGACCTACATAGCTGTAAGAACATTGAAAACACCTATGTACAGGAAGACTGGAAGAATAGCCAAGGTGTGGGGAGCTGGGTGTGGGGGGACATACCTGTAGTTCCTGCAGCTGGGGAGGCTGAGGTGAGAGGATTAGGGGGACCAGCTTGTGTAACATAGCAAGTCACTGCTTCAAAAAATAAATAGAAGCTGGGTGCCGGTGGCTCACGCCTGTAATCTTAGCTACTCAGGAGGCTGAGATCTGAGGATCACGGTTCAAAGCCAGTCCAGGCTTTGAGACTCTTTCCTCCAATTAACCACCAGAAAACCGGAAGTGGCGCTGTGGCTCAAGTGGTAGAGCGCTAGCCTTGAGCTGAAGAGCACAGGGACA